TTGCATTACACTCATAGGAGTAGCCACATAATGGCATGAACACCTTTAAACGCTATAACAGTATTCTCAATCGTATGCAACATGCAATTAAAGTCGAAACTCCAATTAAGCCTTTTATTATAGGAGCTCAAATTCAATAGTATATTACTCCTTTTATCTATGCATAGATAAGAAGCGTCATGAAAAACCATGTAATCTTAAGGCGTACATTTTTATGCCAAATGAATAATTTTCTAATTTGAATTTGGATATAATTGTGACTCACTTCTTCTTGACTAAAGATGTGTATAACCGATAATATTTTGTCCCCCACTGATTGTGTTCTTGAGGAAGCCCTTTCTCCGTATGACGCCTGATTATCCTCATAGTCCATCATGTTAACTGTTCTTATTTCTCTGGCAGATGAACAAATCGCATATATAAAAGGGAAGGAAGATACATGTATGTATATCCATGGGTATATATATGTTCCATGTTATGCTGTAAAGAGGTCAACAACACATAGGCTGTTATCAATAAATGATAGCAATGTATAGATGCATGGAAATTCCCTGTATTTCTTCGGCCAATATGCTCCCTCTCCCTCTCGGATTTGATGCATCCGCAGTTCATACCTATACTGTAAATTCGCTTAACACCTACAAATGAAGAATCCCGTATGTCCCTTCTTCAATTTACTATAATTCCTGATATGCAGAATGGAAAACTCGGTTATACGCACACATATCTGTTATTCTCAGCTCCTATCGATGATACAATACTAGAATTTCCCCTTAATCTTTATGATGTCCTGGTTGTAATTTATTATAACCACGCCCAAAATCCCTTCAATATGTTTGTTCCCTGGGGTTTCATCTATATCTGGGGTCAATCACAGCATCATTATTCTTGTCACTGTTTATAGATTCGGGTTCTGTTGTGATTGACATACTTTGATTACGCTGTATGGTCTGGTGCTTCACATACAGACGTAATACTGGTATTCTCCCCTCTGCTTCCCTGTTAAATTTTGTCCATAATAGGTAATGCTCTCGACCAAATTAATCAGACTGCGTTAGCAAACTTCTAGTAGTGAACGCCTGGCGTAACAGGATAAAAGGTATTCTTAAATATAATTATTGCAATATCTTGTCCTTCCGACCTCTTATTGTACGGTGAAGAACGCTTAATTCTTATTATTCACCCGCCTACTCTTTCCCATTTAGCCAATCTCCTTATTCGAAATGGGTTTCTTCTTTATTTAATATTAAATTGATGTAGTGAGACATTTAACAGTTCCATTAGAAGCATGATAAGGTGTTCAGCCGATCTTAGAACTAAATATCCAAAAGAGTATATCCTCTAAGAGAATATCATATTCACATGAATGAGCGCTGTTTTATCAAAAGAAATAACTATAAACTTCTTGAGTTAATTATTAATTGAATACTTACCAGAAATATCTTTCACAGATTTTGTTCAATTGTAGGCAACTTTGTATCTTGAAAAAACATTCCCTGTTACCTCGGCTTTTAGTTCGCTTGAACAGTCTCACGCAACAATCAGTACACATCAATGAGGGACATGTCAAGTATTGCAAAATGTATGGGAAAAGAAAGAAAAAAAAAAAGGAACCAAAAAAGATACGCACCCACTTTTCAGAAGAATTCTCCCGTGAAACTCACCATATGTACGAAATCAGCATTATATTCCAATATGTGGATTATTACCATGTGCAATACCCATCCCAGTATACTGACGTGTGGCATGTTTGATATCCCGACTGTTTCGAAGAAATATATTAGCGTTATTCCACTTATCAACATAATATTACCACACAGATCTATATATATGTATACATACGTATATATAGGTATATGTACAATTCTAGGGATCAAGGAAAAATTACTAAAGTTTGTTGTCATATAATTATTCGCCTCCATTTTTACTAATTCTTTAGGTTCTTCATAAAGCTGGCGCCACAGACGAACGTGATCGCAAAAGAAGTAATGTATCTCAATAAACATAAAGTGTTACTTATAGAAGCGTGTTCCTTGAGTGTCAAATAAAGCACAAATCCACGTTCCGAGCAAAACGCGTCTGCATGGGATATAGGGCACAAAATTCTTCCTTGCATGTGATCCACCCCAACACTTGCATTTTCTTTAGGTGCCTCTCTTTTTTTCTATGCATAAATTGTGACCCTACATAAACGGGCATCAAACAGAAACGATGTTCTTCATGAATACGATGAGGAAATATATTTTAAATATGTAAATTTACACTAATGCTATAGCTTGCATGGAATTGATGTGTTGATATTTTTCTTTACTTCTTTCTTTTTCTTTATTCTGTTGTCTGTAGTCCTATCCATAATGGATTATATGAAGTCCTCATCCTTGGTGTATATTTAAATATGTGTTAATGTCTTAAAATTAGATACACGTATAAACAATGCATGCCATATTAAGACTCGCCTGGTTTAGATTCCTATAAATAATTAAAAATCCTTTCATTGATATGAGAGGTTCCCCAAGCCGTGCGTATAGCATTCGAACGATTTATTATAAACATCACCCTCATACAGCAAGTATTATGAATACTTATTATTTATCTAAAACAGGAAGAAACAGATATCATATCAATGTCTCGACGCATATTGGCGCTTTTTATTCTCTGAAACCTTCCTTTTATTAAAATAAATGAATAGGTGTACGTCGCCACAATTCTGATCTCAAAATTAATTCTGTTCATAAGGGGCAATCAGGGGAATGTACCCCCTCAGGATGCACGGAGTATTGTTCGTGATGTGTTAGGTAAGAAGCATAATATTTAACGTGTAAACGGCGATTCTATTATCCTTTCCCAATCAGATCATGCAATTCCTGGTCTAGTTTTAACGTAGTCGTATTGTCCAACTGTTTAAGACACATGGTTCTTGTTACCCATGCTGGATGATAGAATTAGATGATGTTAACAGGAACTTGCATGTTCCCCTTAAGGAATTTGCAATGGTGTCTTTGTCAGTGTTTACCTCAATGTTCAGAATGCATATACGCCCATTGACAGATGGCCTGTATAAACACATTTAGACCTGTTCATATTTCCCCGTCCACTTCCTTTTTGCAAACTACGTCGGAAACTCATCTGAGTATAAAAGAGAAAGGATAGGGAAGAAGAAAGACATAAAAGATGCCGCTTTGTATTTGTACCAGTCCAGAGGCACACAGGAATGGCATCACAAAGAAAAATGCTCACCCCTTGTATATTATCAGACAGAACTTTCTCCAACCATAATTCCTTTTACACTATCACCAGCTAATTGGAACCCTTTATGCTTTCAAAAATTGTGGTGGATACATATTATATCCACATTCACTATGCTAAGATTGAATTGTCGGTAAATATACGTTCGTTAACATCCTACACCTTACACGTTATACCATACCACAAGTAGTGTAGTAGGGACCAAGCACCATACAACTAATTGCATTCTGCATCAATATAGCATAAAATATCAGCTGGAAATTCAAATATAATACAGGTTACATAGGACTATTTATACGATAAACCAGATAATGCTACCGCCGCCCATGCAGGAGGAGGACTCTATAATAGGACTCATTACTCTTCATTTCGCCCTTGAAAATGTCCACAAGGAGAGATTCAGTTACGTAATGAATTAGTGAAGAATAATAAGAAATAACTCCTTAAGAAGTTGCGAACATCATAGTGGGGGAGTTTTGCATACTACCCAGTATTCACTAGAAACTAAATTTCCACGCATTTTTCTCCCGTGATGCTCTTTTTCCGATGAACTTTAGTATTAGGTGTAGATAAAGTGATCGTGACATATACATTGCTGTAAGCAGATTATGGAACATTATAAAGTGTTTCTGTTTTTTCTGTCTTGTCGGATCTTTCATTACGTGATGCTGTGTGAAAATTCGTAAAAAAATTGCAATGGATGAAACATTTCTTCTCTGCAACATGAATTGTTTGTATAGTTCATTAATTTTGCGGCTTCTCTTATCCTTATGTTGACAGGTTTTACGGAATATAAAAATTACGTCCTCATCCTCCCTTAGCTTCAGCTCCCTAGAATAACCCCCCAAAAATTATATAGAAAAATGAATTCATCTCGCATACTACTTTGAATTGTGGTACTACATATAATATCATATAGATAAGAGGCGTATATTTCGTGTGATTCACATAGTTCAGAACACCATGCCAGGAGCATATTTTCTCTTACTTCATAATATTTCAGCTATTCATGACATCCGTCTATAAATTACGAAGCACTCATATGCTTCAAATGAGGAGGTACTTTGCTGAACCGAATTAAATTTCATAATATATGCCTTCTATACAGTTCAATGACACCATCTGATATATTTTATACTTAACTTGTCCCAATTCTTTGCTTTTCCTCGTACACGAAGGCCTCTCGTTATGCATTATTAACGGGGCATCATTGCACATGTGTCTACTCTTATACCGCGCAAGAATACTTTCCAGAGATGCCTTACGGAGTTCACAATCAACAATAAACGCAAAATAATGAATCAAAAAAAGATGAACACGGGAAGTCGAAAGGAACAGGGAAATGATAGATATCCTCCTGATTTTTAAGGGGCTCCTTATGAAATTTATTAACTTCTACCGAAATGTACATGTAATGATCACTCTAAGAAGCGATTGGCCTGTTCCTCATTTGTGCTACCCTTCCATATCTTCCTCAGTTCGCGTTCTATGGCAGTTAAAACTACGAATAGGGACGCTCGATTTGATGACACTTAGGAGCATCCTTTTACTCTCTTAAATTACACACATGGAGTCTTGTACTATTAAAGAAACAACACCGTATTCTAACTAACTCTAATTACAATGCATTCAGTGAACCAGAATATACTGTATAACTTCAAATAACTGGCCTAAATATGTGTTAGTATTCCTTTGCAATCATTTTGCATCTATCTTGGAAAGGACATTTTTATAGCAGAACTCAGCAGGAGAAGCTACAGGTCCACAGGGTACTCTGTCTTCGCGTCTCGTCCAATTAACATAGAAAATATCCAGATGGACTCCTTATAGGGTAAGCTAGGGAGAAATTCCCAAATCCTGTCGAACGGGTTGCCATTCTGAGGATATATCCCGCTCAGAATTAAAAAGTACAGATTCTTTATCTTGTGTTTCTTAACGCCTAATTCCTTCATTAATCCTCAAATATGTCCCAAAGACATTAGTCATTCTCCTATACTGATAATACAAGACATAAAATGAGATTCCAATATAACTATAGAAACAGTGGTACTGACGCATACAACTTAAAATTGTATTATTACATATTACAATTATTAAGTACAGACATGAACGTCCATAATGGTGTTCATTAATACTTAGGGGATGCCTTCCCTAAATCAGATGCATATTTATACAGTATGTACGTGCAAGATCATAATAGCACATTATGAATATCTCCTTTAATATGATCCACTTCTTAGAGTGAAACCTATCTTCGATTCACTACCAGAATTTCGCACTTTACTGTATACCCCTGCCAACGGCATTAGTCCTCATTTGAGAATCCTTTTTTACATTAAGGTAGAATAGCGGCTCTGGGCAGTCTGCACATTGACTTTGCCAGTTCCGAGTTTAGATAAGAAGCCTCATACTTCTCTAGAAGATATTTAATGGAAATAATGAAAACTCTTCTTATACATCATAAAATGTCAGTACAAAACTGCATGAATGAACTGATTCATAAACATCCCTCATAAATAAATATAGATACTTCCATTAATAATTACATTAATGCGCTCAAATAAAATATATTAACAAAGGCCTACGATATCCTCCCTAATTCCTAATAATCACATTTAAAACCAATGTCACTATTCTTCCTAGATAAACGACAGTTGCCTTTATGTAATGTTAGGATAATAGTTTATACAAAACATAATTAAGAAGTACTGAAGACATTATACAAAATTGGGCTATGCCTGCTCATATACTATCATTATAGTGAGGAGTCTATTTTAGTAAAGCAAACATACACCACAAGATTACCTTCAACCCACTGATTGTCTCTTATATTCTTATCTGAACAGGAGAGACGGCAATTTCTTCTCTTAGGGGGGGGTGGATTCTTCCTCTAAATTTCTTTCTAATTCTCATAGAACCTTTCCTCCATAGGCATACAAATATATATACAAAGTGAAGATCGCAAATTGACAACCAATAGAGAACATTTAAGATATCCTTATCAAAGATTGGGAAGACATTTTCTTGCAATTTAATAATAGACATGGTAACAGCCATCTCGCCACTCATTATCTGCTTTCCTGTTCCAAGTAGTAGCAATAAATTACTGATAGCTTTGCGATTTGACACCAAAGAGATCAACCGAATAATGTCTGCACAATGCGAGTATACAGTATAATATATCATAGTCATAGATATAATTTTATAGAAAGAGCATGTTTATTCAGACTGCACACAACATTAATACAGAACGGTAATCTAACAATTCCGATATAAACGATTGATTGTCCACAATGAGATTATAATCAGCATATATTGTAAGTATAAGTAAGAAATCTCGCAATTTCGTATGAACTATAGGAATGCCACCAACTAATGAACGCTATTTACGTCTGTGCACATGAAGAAACAGATAAATTAGCACCGCAGTATTAATCTTCTCCAATTCTGACAAAGCTTAATAGGTCTGTCTGTAGAAGAAAAGTAACATGATCTATACTATTTATCCGTATCCTTTTCTCTGTATCTCAAAGCGGTGATATCTGAGTGATAGATTTTGTTCTGCATGATAAAACATAAGATACGAACAGTCATAGTATGAATATATGATAGTTGTGCCTGAATAGCAGTAATAAGCATGATATCTGTCACTGTGACTCTTATTATCCTCAGATAAATACGAGGGATAATTTAATGGACTTCACATATACATCTAATTCCTATGAACACACAAGCCCTCCAACACCCCAGTGAAATTCCCAACCGACAGCATATTTCCTCTCAGAGTGGATGAAAGAGTTGTGCGGTATTGTCCTATAATCGCCTGTACTCAAAAGTCCATTGTAGGAATTCCTTGTAGAAGCAAGAAATAAGGTGATAAATACAAATCATTCAACTTGTGTTGCCACATTTCAATAAAAACAGTCAAAGAATCCTGAAGCAGCAAACGTGTTGTGTACCCCTCCCATAATATCCATATTATTAAGAGGAATTCAGTAGTGACATAGACAAACAGGAAGATACACATTTGAATATGAGAGACAACTCATGGGCAACAGATCTTACAACAGTATAGATTAACATTAATATAGATGAATATGTGCTCTATAATTCGGCGCGTCATCGGTGCATGTATAACTCCAAGATTTTAGAAATATATCCTATGGGAAAGGGATCAAAATAAAGGAGCCGAGGAAGTAGTACTAGATCAGTAAGACTGTTGTCCCTCTGTATATATCTCAATGAAGGAAACAGCCAGAGTCTGAACATTGATTGTTCTGTATATTTATATTAAGACACTTAAGATATCTTGAATATGGGCAGAGTAATAAAGAATCTACAAATATATGGTTGATTATATCTTCCCAGACACCTAAGAAGAGACCACAGAGAGGAGATAAAAAGAGGCGCGTTAAAGGAAGCCAAGCAGCGCACGATTACCACAGGAAGAAGGAAATAATAAAGTAAATCGAAGGGGAACGAACATCACCTAGGGACGCAGAGTGGGCAATGATGATTGTGAGCCCTTGCTTAAGGTAAGACCTCTAAATCCCGAGCAAAAAGCATTAAATGGTTAACCGTAAAGAATAGACTTTAGAGGTTGATGACACAACCAGAAACAGGAAGGATAAGCCTTTAACCATAGGGCTTGCACAATAAATCATACAACACAAGAACTCGACGTTGAGAACCAATTAATACAGCACATATCAAAACCATAACAAGTAAAGAAGAAGCAATACAACATCACGCCCCAAATTAATACCAGTACAAACTAAACATGATGCCTAGCGCAAAAAACTTCGGGGAGATACCCTGAAGAATAATAGGACCGAATAAACCAAAACACTTTGCAGCATGAACCATAGCACATACACCTGAGCGTTGAACAGTACACAAACAGTATACACCGTAAACCTAGGGCATGCAAGGACCACCATACACTTCATCAGGCCCAGATAGACACTAAGGGTATCCGATCAGTCCTACACGGTAAAACTGAATCGGCCACCATGGAATCTGACCCGTACACCGTCAAGATATGGCAGGGGATCCTAAGCCTAAGGAGATAAGAAATAAAAACAAGCAGCAGGAATAAGGAGGCATATGTAAAGAATTAACCGTAAGAATAAAGGATAGAGGGTGCCAGTAAACGCTAAGCCACAGGCCTCCCCCATAAACCGTGGAGGCTGAGCCATGAAATATACAGCTTAGAGCCCAAAGCGTAAAACCGAAACACTACACCCTAAATCCTAGAAACCTAAGGCTGATCACAGTACAAAAGGCGCCTAATCAACCAATCTTCCCAGCCTAACACAACTTATCAAACAATACTAATATCCACTAAGAAGTAGAAACAACACCCCGGCAATACACGGGGACCAGCAGGCATAAACATAGAAGGTGAAGCCTGACCACTACCCTCAGGAGTGGAACCAGAGGAATAAGAAATAAAGCATTCATCCTAGACATTAAAGAGTACAGAGTGAGAAATAAAACTTCACCCAACACCAAAGCACCATAAATCGACAGCGCAATGCCCTGAGTAAAACCCGGATGAGAGAGGTGCTTACCCCCAGCAAAGTAACTGCATACAATTGAAGCCAAAGACCCAAGGAGTACAGGTAAAACATATAGAGAGAAATGTACTCTTTAACACAACTCCAGAAATTTGCAGCCCTCAAAATTAAAGGAACCTAAACCAAAAAGGAGCGTAACAGAGGAACGACAGGCCTAGGCAATAATGGAAACAGCAAGGAGCCTCAGGCACAAGGCCGACAGCACAGCTTAGGCAGTACGAGATAGAAACCATATAATAAAGGAAAGGGGCAGGGACGGACAACCTACTTCTGCGATATACATTTCCATTCTCTACGCCTAAGCACTGCATGTGCCCCACAGTGCATGTAGCATGGAACTTATTTCATCATCACGGATCCATAAGCCATACCTGACGCCCCATAAAGGTTAAAGCCCAGGAATTAACACAGCAAGAGAAAGGCTTAGACTCCAAGGACTAAATCCAAAATCGGAAACTTAATCATTCTGGGCTAAGAGATACAGCATAAGAAATGAAAGTTAAGAAGTTAACAGTACCTGCAAGGACAATAACCAGGAACTATAGACACCCAAGCATGAGCAGTCAACTCCTAAAGAATAAACTCTGAACCTAACGCGATAGTCTTGAACCATGAGCATGAAGCCGAAATGTGCCTCTTAGGCGTCAATCCTGGACGCAGACCCCTAAGAAATTGAGTCGTAATAGAGAAAGAAAGTCTCGAAATTATAAGCCCTAAACCCAGCAACAGGGACAACAACACAAGAGGAATTATAAGTTGAGCGTAACAGCTAGAGTAGAACAAAGGCACACTCAGAAGCAGTCAATAAACAATACAGAATAATCCAGGAGCAACGAACAATAGGGGCAGAGTCGGGGGCCTAAAGCTAGGAATAACCCCTAAGACCTAAACCTCAGCTCGGGAGCTATAAAAATAAGCAATACAAACTACAGAGAACCCCCCTCCCATAACCCGAAGTCCCCCAGCGTATAAAGTACAGGTGACCCCTTGAAATAAGGAAACCGAAGCCCTGAACCGTAAACTTCAATTCTTGGAAACCAAATCTAAATCATTAAGGCTAAATCCTCGACCTTAGGTCATACAATATGGAATCTAAGCCTAAGCCATACGGCCAAGGAATTACACCCAAGAGACGAAACCGGGGGGAATTCCTAAATCCTCAAAATCAAGCCGAAGAGTCAACCGGGAGCATCTCGTCCGTAAGAGCCAAGCTACAGGGGGATGAATCATAGAATGCAAAACCTACACATCTAAAGGTGAACCCAAACAGCTGAGGATAAAGAGGGAGTACTGAACCCAAAATCAAGAAGCTTAACATACAAGAAGGATTCTGGTATAAGCCGTAAGAAATACACATTAACAGAAAAGTTACGTCCAGGAACAGCCTCCTCAGCACTAGGATCTATAGTAGTAACGCCGGAGGGATAAGCCATGACACCTGTAGGGTACACCTTGAGGAGTAATACCTAAATATAGGACCCAAAACAGTGCTCCCTGAGCACTACACCATACATCCTAGAACCATGACATCTAGAGGTTGGAAAATAGAAGGCAAATGGTGGACAATGAATACCAGAACCTCAACATAAACCTTAAAATGTGAGCCCTGAACCCTAAACCCAAAAGGCTAATACAAATGCCAAGGACCTATGCCCATAACATAAAATAAGCCATCAGCAGCTTAAACAGCAGAGTCCAACTGCAAGCAAAGAAATATATCACCTAAGTCCTAAACTCTAAATCAGAATCGGACACCGGCATAAGTGAAGCCTAACGATGAACCCCTAAACACCCCCGGTATAGACCCTAGGGTATACACTCGAGAGGCGCTAGAAGCTGAAGAATGAAACCACAGAAAGTAAGGACAGGGGCAGAATTCCGTAAAAGAGAGCATAAGAACCCGGGGGAAAATGTAATGATTCAACTCCAAAACAGAAGCTTAGTGAGGCGGTCACCATGAATGTACCTGCAGAGATATAATGCCTAAGGGAAAGACCGTTAAGACTAGAGACTGAGCCGTGATCGCTGAACCCTGAAGCCTCAAAGCTAGACCTTAAACCATATACTTTGAATCATAAACCCTAAGCGGAGAACCTAAGCCTAAACCTAGAATCCTGAACCATGAACCATAAACCCGGAACAATAAACGCTAGATCTAACCCTAAAGCCTTAAGCTAATCCCTGAAAAATAAACCCTGAAATTGTCCCCTAAACCCTAAAACCTGAACCTGGGACATCAACGCTGAAAGCTAAACCCTAGTGCCTAGACATAAACACTAAACCCTAAAAAAGGAACCCTAAACCCTAAACAAGGAAACCTCGAACCTGAAAGCTAACCACTAAACCCTGAACCCGAAACCCTGAATGCCAAATGTTCCTGGTGAATCCTAAATGTGAAGCCTAAACCCTAAACGTAATCCCAGAACCCACAGCCCTAAACGATAAACCCTAAACCGTAGACCCTAAACCTTAAACCATAAACCGTAAACCGTAAACCGTAAACCCTAAAGCGAAAAGCCTAAAGCGTAAACCCTAAACACTAAATCCTAAATCTAAAAGCGTGAAACCATGAAACTTGCCCCTGAAATCTAAACGCTCAATCTTGAACCCTAAACCTGAACCCTCAACTCTAACTCGTAAACCGTGAACCCAAACATTAAACCTACAACCTAAATTGCACCCCGAAAACCCTGAAACCTAAAACGAACCGTGATCGTCTAACGCCAAACCCTAAACTTATACGTTGAACTCTAAGCCCAAAACCCCCATACTCATCCGATTCTAATGTTATCTCATTGCATACCCCAACGTCCCTGAGACACCTGACCTCCTCTCGCTGGCTGACCCTACTCTATTACGACGAAATACTCTATACAGACCATAGGACGCCCCCAGTCCTAACACTAGGGAAGCCCCACCTCCTAGGACTTCTGAGATAAAGCCCCCGTTCGCTGTTGTCTCTTCAATCCCTCCTGAAGGCGTCGATGAGACACCCCCTTTAGGCCCCACATCCCCCTCCTCTAGGTCCTGCTCTTGCTTGGGTACCGGTGCCGAGTCCCTCCCTGGCAAATGTGAACCCGTCTGTTGTCTTCCCGGGTGTGAATCCGAGGATACCCCTGAGACGTCTTCGCCTTCAGCACCCCTTGAGGCCTTTTGGGAGGCGTTGCCCGGGGCAAGCCGGTTTACGGATTGGTCCTCTCCACTTAATCTCATGTCACACCACTGGACTTCGTCCGTTGGTTGTGTTTCAGAGGTTTGCTCGCACGGTGTGCAGCCAAACATCTTATCGGCTTTATCGGTGCCCCAAATAATCTCCTGAATCAACTCAAAAAAATCCTTCCCTCTTATTAGATAATCCTGTCCTCCCGTTCTCATTTTAACCTGTTGTGTATACCACTCCTTCATTATCATCTGGGCTACTCGTTGACCCCCCCAGCTGGCCAATCCTTTATATATTGAGTCACATAACCCCCCTTGCCCCCGTGGGGCTATTGGAAACTGCTTCTGCCTATATCCTATGCCGAAAATCTCAACTATCATCTCCACTATATCCTGACATACCCTCAACCTCCTCCAAGAAGAACTATTCTTGGTCAATCCATCGCTCTTGCTATACTCATTCCACTCGAGTGAGAGTCTCCCTCTTGGACATCTTCCTGAGCTTGTTCCGCTCCTTAATCCTAATCCAAGCCCATCAATACTACAATCTGGAGTTTCTTCAAATGTATTATGAGCTCTTGCGGCCTTCACCAACGCCATAGCCCACTTTTCCATATTCTTACAAATTGAAGCACTAGCTTCGAGGACTGTCTTGACCTCTCCCCCTGTCTTTGATCTGATATACGGTTCTAACCATGTGTTCTTCTCATCCGTATTAAACTTCCCGTTCCTGATGGTACATAGCCTCGACTGTGTCTCCTGCGGCTTCCCTTCACACTGGCCCTTGGTGCCCTCAGACAGAAGATGATCCATATAGCTTGAAAAGGGAAATCCATTCTGGCTCATCTTCTTTTACTGATAATTCATGAATCTTGAAATAGACCTTAGGTCCCCCCTTTGGTTTTCCCTCTCAAAAGTTCCGCCAAGGTGTCTTGAAAGTCCTGGATTATCCTGTCCCTCATTGTCCTCCCTCTTTGGCCATTTCACGAGTTCCTTCACCTTTGCAGATTCTTGCTGCCGAATATTTCAGATGCTGAGGTTTCCACCCTCTCTTTTTCGAGAGTTTCTGTCTCGTCTCTCTCCATTGTCCCTTACTTCTTTCTCGATCCTCCCCCTATGGGATCTTGAATCCTAGCGTCCCGGGGTCTCTTAGTTCAATTAACTCAGATGCCTCCTCATCCCATTCTCCAACCGTGGCGAACTCACTTGCGAAATCCTTCCTGCTAATCTTGTGGTCCTCTTAACTTCCTGTTCGGATATTGGGGGAAACGACTAGGGGCCCCTCAGATTACTGGTGAATAAATCTCTGGATACGGAGTTTCCCTATTGCAACTATATCCCTCTCTTTTGCATAAGATTCTTGGTCTATGCTATTCCTGCCTTAGCCTGCTGGCTGTCAGTCGTGCTGGGTCCGCGCTGGCGCCCTGACTAGATCTGCCCCTTGGGATCTATTCCATATCTCCCCTTTGCCGCTTTATTTCTCCTAAGCCTTAAAGAGATTCCTTCATCTTTTAAAAATACTGGTGAATCCGTGGCAGAGTTAGCGACTCGCTTGGCGATTCCCTCCTGTCTGTGGCTTGCCTTTGTCCCTGTGGCTTGAGTTTTGGCACTTTGACTTATTCTTTGGTCTTCCGCCTAAGCTTAACTCCCCTCGGTATCTTAGGCCGCTTTTTTTACGCTCCTCGTTTTGCGGAGTCTCAGTGATCTGAATAAGGCATAATGACTTTCACCTGTTGCCGCTCTTTTCAATTGCTTCTCCTTCTCCTAGGCTTCCTTCATCACCCACGGGTGGTCGAGTGAGGCGTACTTCAACTTTTGTCCTTCTGCTTTGTCTTGTTCTTCAAGTATTATGTTCCTTCGGCGCCCCTAGCTTTGACGTGACTGATTAGTTGCAGGGAAGGAGATCCTCTTCCTAGCTCGGGGCGGTTTATATCTCGGGAGTTTTCCTCTTAAATGTCCTTGTAGGATCGCCTCTTGCTCCGTTAGCCAGTGAAATGAGGTGGCGTCATTTGTATAAACGGGGAAGGAGCTAGTCTTGGCCTTTTCTTGTCTTCTCATTTCTTAGGGGTCCATCTGTCATCCAGACTTAATGACTCGGTGTCGGTTTGAGTAATTCTAACCTTAGGGACAGGTTTTTTTTTGTGGGAAGTTATTGGTCTTGTACGGTCTTTCGACTGACGTCATGAAGGCGTTGCCTATTTAATTTGGCTTAGATTAATTCAGCTCCTTCCCCTCGTAAGGTTTTCCTTGATTGCCCTTATTTTTGGACTGACGTCCTTAATCATACCTCTCCTAGTCGTTGGGGAGTTGGGGGTTGGACTCTGATGTTGTCTGGGTAATAGTTCCTGGATTAATGATACTATAATTTTTGACATCTGATTTGGCGGGTATTTCCGTTAGGATGCGATATTGGAGATTTCTACTGTCTCTTGGCTTTTCTCTGGACCGTAAACTATAAGGACGGACACAGTTGCTGGTTGCATAAGGAAATACTTCACGGGACTAACTCCTTTGCATTCATGAGTCCCTAATAGATTCTGAGAGAGTGTTCTGTCCTCTTCAGATAGATTTTGGGAAATATGTAGATACCTTCTCATGAATACTCCCTCCCTCGGACGCTGAGCTGCTCAGTGAGCTTGCTATGACGGTCTCTTTCTTTAATTCTTAGCTCTGCTAGAGGGTTGTTTGGGGAATCTGATTCCTAATTCCCATTTATTACTTGAGAAATCAGTCTTTAACTACTCGACTACTGTTGCTCATTGCTTAATCCATGGATGTGGTGGCTGCACGGGATAACGCACTCTTTCTGCCTGTCTCGTTCTCCCGGGATCGGTCACCTGAAATCGGGCTCGTAGTTTATCATTACGGCTTTTTCCTTAGGCTAGACATACCATTACGCTATCCTCTCCGTGGTTTCATCCCGGACGCTCCTGCATTCTTCTCCTTGGCGTGTCCTCATTCCGGCCCTTAGGTTCAGACGATAATCGCTCTCCTCTATCTTGTCCCTTTTTGAGATAGGGAGTTGTGGATGCTGTTGATTTGGAGTGATCCTCCTGAGATAATATCGGTCTGCTGTTTGGTCCTTGGGGTATTAGTTGTTCCTATTCCGCAATGAAGATTCCTCAGACTACTGTTTTGAGGAACATCAAGCTAAGCCCTGATTCTCCTTCTGGGGGTTTGCCTTCTTCTTGGCGGAGAACTACTCCTGTTTGGATGTTTTTTTGTTTCCTGAGAGGCCCCTATTCGTCTTTTGAGGTGGATGCGGGTAGTTCATCTTGGGTCATATTTTTTCATTCTTAATTATTTCGGTGTGATGTTGTAATCCTCCAAGCTGTACTGAGCTGGGAAAGGGGGCTGCTTGTCTTGGCTCTTGATTAATTTCTTCTGTTTCTGTTCCTTATCTAATCCTACTCATCCATGAGATGAGCTTTGGGAAATATTTCATTAAGATAGAGTGGGGAATCCTCCCTGGATTGTCTCTGTTTCGGATTAGTAGGGGGGGAGGGATAGATTTCATTTTTTACGGCCTGAGGCAGGATTTCTGGATCTCCTATTGAACTTGTCGTCATAGTTGTTTTCGGCGAGTCCTCGTCTCTTCAGGAGAGATTCTTAATTGGTTTTTTCTTCTTGACTTTTTTTCTTTTCCTTTGGCTTCGTGATGGCCTTCAGACGATGGTGTCCACTCTATTTCTGTTTTGTGATGATGATAAACCTCTTTATCCATTTTGGGGGCTTCCTTTTGGTGGGACAGTATTCTTCTCGTCTGAGCTTGGTGAGATAACACCTATGTTCTGCCATCGATAGAAGGTGGAGGTGGCTGGCCCATTCCTGCTCTGGATTGGAGCTGGTTGAGGATAATTCAGGACCTGTTTTGAGTTGTCATTACTACTCTTCATATTCACTCTGATGGAGTTATAGGCTTATCTAACAGTCAGATCATCTTCAGGGGCGATTTCACGGTTTGTCTGTGGATTTGAAGGTTTTCATTGGCGTTTGGTTTCCTGGGCTGCGTTCTCCTGGACCTGTGTCGTCTTTGTCACCTGGATTCTTTGCCTCTGGTGTGCCTTCTTCTTGGATGGCTACTCCTCAATCGGGTGTTTGTAGCCTCCTGACTTTGCCTGTTATAGACAAATTCTGAGCTTCATTCTTATAAATCTTTTCTTAATGTACGCTTTACGGTAGATCTGGGATTTTCTGTATAGATGATGCTCCTCGTATATGTTCTCCTGCTTTGTGGCTGGGGGGAGGAGTTTTATAGTAGATTTCTGATTCTTCATCAAATTCTTGACTAATGGATAGTTCCTTGGGATTTGACCTCAGGCTGCCTCATTTGGAAGGATAGTTTGCTCTAAAGGTAGAGGGGCTCCTCAAATCTAATCAATTTACTTCTGATAGTTGTTAATTTGGAACTCTTGCTGCTGTGCTAACTCCTTAGTATATATCAGTCCTCTCCTGTGAGATAATTTCTCGCTACATACTGAGACTCATTGCACTACTTAATCATTATCTTATACGTGTGTGCTCCTGGGGCCAAGCGGCTGGTCTTGTTGGCTTGGGGACTTGGAGTTGTACTCAGGGAAATACGCTATGATCACACAGAGTTTGAATGAAGATTTCGACATAATTATCTAGAACTATGATCCCCTTAGTAGTTTTATTATATCATTGCCTGTTTCTGGTATAATATTCTCCCTTGATCCTCTTCCTTCTCGAATTATTCTCAATCACTAGTTCTGCTTTGCTTTCTTAGATATGGTGGTAATACCTCGGGGTTCATAAAATCAATGGGATTTACACTTTTCGCCAGCCCTATGCTGGGCTTGTCTAGAGCCTGGGCCGGCTCCTCGGCCATGAACCTCCTGCTTCTTGTGTTGTGGTCTCCTTACAGCCGTTTGAGGGGCTCGGTTGGTGGTTGTCCTTCTAGGAACTTAACCTGTTTGTTTGTTGGGGCTTTGTTTCCACTTAGGACGCGGAAGATTGGAAATACACGGGTTCTCCCCTTTGCCGAGTTGTCCCATGATGCAAAGAGTCAGTAATACGGGGTATACACTTTTTTCGCTCTTCTCTACATAATAGGCGTTGTTTGCTTTTGCTTGTAACTCGTCTCCCTGCTCATGCCAGATATACTATCAGTTCGGTAGGTGAGAGTAATCCAAGAAGATTGCGATTTAGTAAGAATTTTTCTCTTTGTCGCTTCCTTTCTTTTACGACCTTATCACTCCTAGCCTCTGGAACCTGTTGTATAACGTCATCTTATTCTGCTCGGGGGCGATTGTTGTTCCTATTTCCTCTTACTCTCTGGGTCTGTTCTGTTAAATTATTTAAAGTCTTCTGATCAGCTATTTCTGGGACTCTCCTTAATCATACTGGGGTATCCTTGAATATATATTTTATACTTATTAAAACTTGCTTCTGGATCATAGGAGTCCCTTATTATTGAGACTCTCTATTTCTATTTATCCATATTCTTGTGCCCTGGACCTAATGTCATCTCCTGCAGGGTTGCTCCTATCTCTACCTTATTTGTTATAGCCTATCCGGAGGATGTTTCCTGGTCAGAAGTTTGAGGTAGGGAGCCGTTTCCAACTTCGTGTTCCTTAATTCCTTATCTATCTGGTCCGATCTTTGCTGCTTGTTGGTCAGGGGGAGACATGTCTCCTATCCTGGCTGTAGGCCTGGAAAGAAATGGATTGTTTAATCTTTTCGGGGGCGGCTTATAGCCTTTTTGTCATTCTCTAGGAAATATTTAGCTGTTTTCCTCCAAAGAAGGAGAGGGAGATTCAGATACAACTCCTCAATTTTTTGGGATATTTCGATTCCTTCTGTGAGTTGACTCTTCTCTCCGC